CCGGCCCGCAGCCCCCGCAGCTACATCCCGCGGCCTGGCCAGCCTCGTCCTCGCCCTCCTCCTCCTCCTCCTCCGGCTCCTCCGACTGAGCGACTGCAGCGAAACCGGAAGCGGCCCTCACAGAAAAAAGGGGAGGGGGAGGGGGGGCAAGAGGCCGCTTCCGCTCCGAGGACGCCGGCGCCACGTGACCTGCCGAGGGAGGACTTCCGGGAAGGGAGGGGAGGGGGGCGAAGGAGCCCGAGAAAGGCTGTCAGAGAGCCGTCGCGCGGCCAGAGCCCCCTTGTCCGAGTGGCATCATCATCATCATCATCATCATCGAACTGTAGACCTGGAAAGGAGCCTATAGACCCTCCATAATGCTGCCCTTTGTCAAGGAAGCCCCGGTGGGGCGGGGGGGGATCGAACTCCCAGCCTCTCTGTGCCGAAGCCCCAAGAGTTGTCACTGCACCTAATCTGAGGACTGCAGGGCTGGAAGGGACCCCGTGGGGTGGGGTGGGGCTCATGGAGTCCGGACCCCCTCCGAGAGGCACAGATTGGGGGGGGGGAATCGAACTCCCAACCTCTGGCTTCGCAGCCAAGGTGCCTTTTAAATCACGGAGCTGTCCAGCAGTTCATTAGAGATCATCCTCATCACCTTAGAACGGCAGGGCTGGAAGGGACCCCGGGGGGCGGGGAGGCTTCATGGAGCCCAGCCCCTGTCAAGCTGGCCCAATACTGTACTAGGGGGAATCGAACCCACCCAGCCCCTGTCAAGCTGGCCCAGTAATAGGGGGAATCGAACCCCCCTCCAGCCTCTGCCTTAAGCCCCCGAGTTCTGTCATGCATCAAATCTGAGAGCTGCAGAGTCGGGAGGGATCCTACGGGCCCTCAAGCCCGGTTCCTGCCAGCGGGGAGTCCGACAAAACCGCCTGGAGGCTGAAGGCGAGCGGATCGAAGGCAGGGGAGCCTCAGACTGAGGACTGCACGGCGAGAAATGCTTCAAATCAGAGGAGGGCGCCGGTCTCTGCAGGCAGGCATGTCGGGAGCAAGGGCTGGTCTTAGAGCACCCCATGAAATACGTGTTTTTAGATTTTAAACATTGTGTTTTACTGATATTAAGCCACCCTGGGTACTTTTAAAGGAGAAAGGCGCGGTTGAAAGAGAGACAGGGAGCAGGGCTGGTTTCTCCCCTTCAGCTGAAGGTCATGACAAGGTCATCGCTTGCCAGCGCCTTGGCAAAGAGAAAACCTTCCTCCAGCAGAAAGGTATAATTCAGGACAGTTGAAGTTTTGGGTAAAGATCCCTGCTCCTCTTGCCCTCACCTCGGGTCAGGTATGGAGAAAGTTACTTTTCCCGATTATAATTCCTGGAACTGCCTATGCATTCTGGGAGTTGTAGTCCCAATGCGTGATTCCCCCCTCCCCCCCCAATCTTTGCCTATGCTTCAGCATCCAAGGCATTTGGAAAGGAGAGGAAGCAGGAAGACCGAAAGCGGGCCGACAGTAAAGGAGCAGAGAGTTCCAAAGAGCCTGAACAGCCGTGCCCTGAGAAAAGATGGCGGCGAGGCCGGCGTCGTTTCCCGGCTTCCTTCCCGCTGGCCAATGGGTCTGAACCATAGAGTTCGAATAGAGGCATTTCATAGCCCGTGTGGTGCAATTCCGGGTTCCCGGTTGCACTTTGCAAACGTCTTTTGGAGGGGCCGTGAGAAATAGCCCACGATCATCATCAACAGCGAATCCAAAATGCTAACGTGGAGTTCTTCGCCGAGCATCTGCGTGCAGAAAGCTGCGGGGGAAAGACTCGGGAAAGAGAAATCTCAAGTTTTTCTTCCGTGGAACGCATTGCCCTCTGAAACCCTCCTTGTCGTCTTTCAAGAAGCCTCTGAAAACATCTTTATTCCGACTGGCTTTTCAAAACTTAGCGGCTTAAGAACGATCTGCCAACCGTTTAAAATGTATTCGCGAATTTAAAATACGTTGCCGGTCACCGTTCTTGCTGTGAACCACCCTGGTTTCCTCCCTCGGTCGGAGGGGGTCGGGTGGCGACTGAATGAACGAACGCATGCATGCATGCACTCATGCCATCCCGGGGATCCTGTTGTTATTATTAGGGTAGACCGTTGGTCTGGATGGGCGGGGTATAAATCTAATGAAATAAAAATACTGTATATTTTTTTACAGCCCAACTTTGTGGACGTCTACTCAGAAGTAAATGCCCTTGGAGGCATTCCTTCCTGCCCGGTCAGGGCTCCGCCCACCTCTCTGACGCAACGCCTACCTCGGGTCTGGCCGTCGCGCCGGAAGTGACGCCCTCGGGCCCGACCCGCTTGAGAGAGACCTCCTAGGAGAAGCTCAGCCGTGGGTGGAACCCGGGAAGTAGGCTCCGCCCACCGCTCTGACGCAACGCCCACCTCGGGTCTGTCCGTCGCGCCGGAAGTGACGCCCTCGGGCCGCGCCTTCTCTCCTCCAGTCGGCTTCCTGGCGTGTTAACCCTCTCGCTCGGGCGCCTGGTCGAGGTCAGGGCTGGCGACCCGGAGGCGGAGGCGGATCGTTCCGGGGGGAGGCGAGAGGCCTTGCTCGGTAGAAGGGGAAAGGGGGTGGGATCCGGGAGGGGAGGGGCGTTTAAAAGTATCATACAGTACTTGCTACTCTACCAGTCACAAACAGTATGAAGACAGACCCATGTATTATGTCTAGAAAGAAATAAAGGTAAATGTTTCCAGTCCAATTAGCAATAACACTTCATGGAGCTTGCATATTACAGTGAAAAATTCTGCTTCCAGTTAATGTTGCAAATACCAGGGAACTGTATAAGCAGAAGTTAATATTAAAACATTACAATTTTGTGAAAATCCAAAATTATGTAGTAGTCTCCTGTGGTTAACAGAGGTTTTCTGCTTTTCTCGGGCAACGCCTTCATTCCATTCCGCCGCCCCCCCTCCCGAAAAACATATCCCAACAGGCGAGACCTCCACCTTTGAAGGTGGAGGATGAGACCCAACTAAGAGGGGGGAGGAAAATAATTCTAATTATTCTTAGGGTCCCCGAGCAGAGNTCTTCTCTGGAAGTCGCCCTAATCGTTTCAAGCCCGCTTTTGTATTCATGAGGGTTCGTTGGTTGGTTTCCCCGAAAGGATCCAAAGAGAATGCTTACGGAGACGGTCAGGATCCTGCGTAAACGCCCTTGGGAGTGAATTCCTGTCTGTTATACAACCAGGCGTGGAGGCACATGTTTTCACTCTCCAGCTGTGGTGCTTTTTTATGCAATCACCCGGACCTCAAGGCAACTCTGTGAATGTGTGGCCTCCAAACCAGCCTGTCGTGGACATCCTTGCTCAGTTCTTGCAAGCTCAAAAGCATACGATCGTCACATTATTGTGTAGTGTTTTAATTATTTATTATATATACAGTATATATGTGTGTATATAAGGGGGAGAGAGAGGGAGAGAAAGTAAAAGGAGTGATTAAAGTTGACCTGAAGCCCAATGTGAACCTCAAGGATACAAATAGACACCCTGCACTTCAAACTGCAGTGTCCCGGAGAAAAACAAAAAGCCCTCACAATCCTAGTAAAGGTTCCCCTTGACATTGAGTCCAGTTGTGTCTGACTCTAGTGCTCATCCTCATTTCCAAGCCATAGAGCCAGCGTTTGTCTGAAGACAATCTTCCGTGGTCACGTTGGCCAGTGTGACTTAGACACGGAACGCTGTTACCTTCCCACCGAGGTGGTCCCTATTGATCTACTCGCATTTGCATGCTTTCGAACCGCTCGGTTGGCGGGAACTGGGACAAGCAACGGGCGCTCCCTCTGTTGCGTGGACTCGATCTTACGAAGGCGGGTCTTCCCTCCCTGCAGCCCAGAGGCTTCTGCGGTTTAACCCGTAGCGCCACCATGTCCCTCACAATCCTAGCCAATAATAAATAGGGGATTTTGCTCTTTCTCACCTACCCACAAACACAACATGTAATGCACAGCCTGATGAACAATTCTGAAGATTCAGCTTTGGGGATATTTTAATGGTTCAATAAAGGGATTGCCCACGTTGGCTAGGGCTCAGGGGTTTGCTCTCTCTGTGTGTATGTGTGTAACCCTTGTGTTAGTCTCTTGCAAGAAAATCAACAAGTCTTGCAGTACTTAATAGGCAACCAACTTGAGGACATAACGCTTTCATACATTTCCTTTCAGGCTCCCTCTCTTCTCCTTTTCCGTTAGGGCTGCGTTGCTTTTAGCAATTGCTTAATTTTCTAAGTTGTACAATAACAATGTTGCGGTGGCATCTTTTCACTGAGAGATCTTTTTGGTTGATTGAAAGGTCTCTGTTTGTAGTTTGGTGCTTGAATTAATTGCTTTGATTTTTCCCCATTAATAATTTGAGCTTGGGTGTAAGCATGAGTGGATGCAAGGGGGCAGCAGGAGATGATGCAAGGGTGCTAAGGACACCCCCCCTCCCCCGTGCATCCTTTAGCACAGCCTGACATTGCTGAATGAGGAATGTCTACCAGGAAGTTGGTTATTTCCTGGTCTAGAAATATTTCCGGGTTTCTCATTGTTGAATCTTGCTGGAAAAAAAGTGACCTAAAAGGAATCTGGGGAAGTCGAATATCCTTCTGCCCTTCCTTGAGACAGGAGAGTTTGTACATACAGCATTTGGAAAATGCATCTTTCCAGTTCTTAAATGTTTTTGTGGAAGGGGATGCCGTGTTCTTTTCTCTGGGGCTCTGTATGGGTCCAAACAGCATGAGTTTCAGCAGGGAAAATGTCCATTAGGGCAGGACCCAGAGGCCCAGATGAAGGACGGGTGATGCCTGCCTTGACAGCAGTACAGTGGAGAAAGAGCTAGGGCTTTTGGTAGACCACAGGGGTAAACAAGAGTCAAAAATCTTGTGCAGCAACAAAAATGCTGGCCTAATGAGAAATTGCATCTAGGGAAACATAGCGTCCACGTAAAGGAAAGTCATTTTACTATTCTGTTCTGCTTTGGGCAGGCCTTCTCTGGAGTAGAAAAATGTGCTGCTTACATACTGTCCCGTAGCACTTAAAGCATTCCCTGGACAGTTTGCAGTTTAATTACAGAGCTACACATTGCCCTTTCCTGCCCCCCAGCAAGCCGGGTACTCCCTTTACCAACCTTGGAAGGCTGTCAGGCCTTCTCTGGAATAGAAAAATGTGCTGCTTACATACTGTCCTGTAGCAATTAAAGCACTCCCTGGGCAGTTTGCAGTTTAATTACAGAGGCTACACATTGCCCTTTCATGCCCCCCAGCAAGCCAGGTACTCCCTTTACCAACCTTGGAAGGCTGATTGAACCTTTAGCTGTCTACCCGGGATTGAACCTGGGATGCTGTAACATGACCCGAGGAGGGGCAACCGGGACAGTGAACAGCTCAGAGCCCAAGGTTGAGGGATTTGATTATGTTTAGCTTAGAGAAGAGAAAAGGCTGAAGGTCCTGTGACTTCAAATATTCGGAAGGCTGTCACGCAGAAGAAGATGGAGCAGGCTTGTTTCCTGTTGCTCCAGAGGGTAGGACTCAAAGTGACAGATTCAAATTATGACAAAGGAGATGCTATCAAAACATTAGGAGGAACCTCCTGATGGCGGGAGCTGCTCAGCCCTGAAACAGACAGCCTTGGTAGGTAGTAGGCTCTCTCCATTGGGCCACCTGTCAGTGATAGAGTCGCTGTGGATTTCTAAAGACGTCAGGTCAAAAAACAAAGCATCCTGCTTATATACAGTATACCGCCTCATAGTGCTTAAAACAGACTCTGGGCGGTTTACAATGTAATTATACAGGCTACACATTGTTCCTCCCCCCTCAGGAAGCTAGGTACTGTAATTAATTTACCAATCTTGGAGGGATGGAAGGTTGAGTCAACCTGGAGCCAGTTATCTGAACCCAGGACTGAATGCAGAGTCTTCACTGCAGTACTGCAGTTTAACCACTGAGCCACAAGGCTCCTGTGTTCAATGACCCTTGGGTATCTTTCAGTTCTGACATTCTGTAATTCTCACTTCTTGATTCGTTTGCAATGTTATCATTTCTATTTGTTTTTTTATTTTCCTTTTCTCACAGACCAAGTCTGTATACACGTATATATATATATTTTAAAGTTACAATTTGCTTTACAGCATGGTTTCGGTTCTTACCTTTATGCTCAGTTTCTCATTGTCACTTTAGGAACGTGGTGTCCAAAATTTGTCATATTCAAGTTAATTAGAATTGTAGAATGACTTTCTAAGCAGGGTGGATAAAAGTCAATCATTATTTAAAAATCAACTTGATTTAAATTTTAAAAATGATTTTAAAAAATGTTAATAGTCTAAAAATGTGATTTTAAAATGTTTTTAAATCAAGCCCCCCCTCCCCCGTTTCTGAGTTGTTGGTTTATTCTGTTTATCTCCTGCTTAGCCATTAAAAGTAATATTCAAGGTGGCTAGATAACATGATTACAACAAATTAATGCAAAGTATGAACAGATCAAACCCCCGAACCTTCAAAATCACAATGATCCAAGAGATTAAAATAATTTTAAAAGAGTTCCAGAGAGCTGTGCTTTCCTAAGAGTAGGGTTGGGACCCCAGAGCACGCCTTGTTTCAGGATGTGGGAGCCCTAAAAGCTCAGACTGACCTTCCTCTCCTGTTCTTGCTGAGCTGTATCTAATTTTATCTTCCTCCTGGGCAGATCCGTGGCGATGAGTTGATGCATCTCCAGCGCACCCCGGTGCCCTCGGCTTCCTCGCTCACCACCTCTATAGCTGTAAAATGGCCGCCAATGTCATCCGTCGTTGTTGCCACCTTTCCCGGACCCCGTTCCCCCTCGGTGTCCAAGCGAGGACTGCGCTGGCGGGCGGCAAAGTCGCGAGCGCCGCCGGGGCGTCCTCCCGACTCCGGTTGGCCCTGCTGACCACCTGCCACCGTTCCGTGCAGATAGGCGGGCTCTGTGCCCAGGAGCAGACGAAACGTTTGCCGCAGGACCCCGGAAAGGTGGAGAGCCTCCTCCACGCTTGCTCCACCGCCCAGGAGCTCTTGAGTTCAGTGGACCTTTGCTCCGTGAATGCCAACCAGGCCGCCATGATTATTACTAGGCTCTCCTACATGGTGAACCAGAAGAAGAGGGAAGCCGATGACGTCAGGAAAGATAAGCGCTTCAAAGACCTGTTGAAAACAGTCACCAAGCGGGTGAGTTTCATGGCGCTTGAGTGCGGGGGGGGGCTCCTCTGGTCTCCCACCAAAGCAGAAAATCCCCAGCTGAAGCATGGCTATGAGACGGCTCTCCAGTCCCTTTTAGAAACCTCCCGCTCAGGGGAGTCCATGGCGTTCTGTTCCCTGGGTGTGTGGCTCTTACGGCCTCCAGAGTCAGAATTCCTCGCCTTGAGTCAGAATTTGCTTTCCTGTCATTGGAACCCATTGGCTTGGCTTGGCTCCTCTTCCTCCATGGGGGCAGAACGCAAGCCCGCTCTGACCTCCGGGTGGCAGCCCTTCAGATGGGTGCAGTGCCACCTCTTCCCCGGGCGTGACAGATGCCACACCCGCGTCTGTTCCCCGTAGGGCTTGGTTTCCAGCCCCTTTGCCTTCTCGGCCATTCTTTGCTAGGCATGTTCTAGCTTGTAATTCATAAAGAGATTTCCAATTTCCTAGGCTTTCCCTCACCACAGTCCTGTGAGGGAGACGGCCTTCCATTCTTAGCTAAAGTGACTGAGATGGGACTTTACCCACGGCCCTTCATGGTGTAGTGCAGTTTCCTGTGCCCTGGACGATGGTGGCAAGATGAAAGAGACCTTGAAGCCACTCTGCTACCTTTCCACCACTTTCTTCAGATTTTGCCGAGAAGAAAGGCATTCCTCTGGTTACCAAAGCTATACATTCGCCCCACTCTTCCTATCACGTCCAGTCTAAGCTGTCGGTACCGTTGTGGCGAAGGCGAAGTGGGGATCCCAGCGGCGTATGCTAAGCTACTGCAATGAGCACAGTGGAAAGCTGTGTGTGATATGGGATGAGAGGTGTGGACAGAAGTTAGAATATGTTGGCCTTGGGTAGAGCCTCTGTACCCCAAAGAAGCTGGTCAGATGTCATGGGTAGGTAGAACTAGAATCAGGCATGTCTATCTAGGCATCTGTTGAGACCCACACCCCAGCAGGCATCCCAAGAGGATCATTCACCCTTATTGAAAAACAGCCACGACAGTTGCTTTGTGTTTGGGTGAGAAGTGGTTAACTGAAAGGGGGGGAGGAAGCTTCTGGGGTTTTCTCCTGCGTGGTGTCCCTTTGTGAATGGTAGTGAGCACAAGAGGGGATCCGGTATACCACCTTGACTGCGACCATGGGTGTCGTCCACATTCAAGCTGCTCTTTGCAAGGTAAAGCCTGGCATCTTTTTTTCTTGCTGGCTATTGTGCAGCGATATTGTGCCATTTCCTAGCTTTTTGAATCTTGAGTAAGAAAGCACAGTATCCAGCATTCATAAACCAGCAGGTTTTTTTTTGAAGAATGGAATCATCATCTCTTGAGTTTGTCTGGTTTCTTTTTGAAGCCCTCCAAAGCAGCCGCCATCACTGCTTCTTGTGGCACAGAAATTCCCCAGGTGAATGGCACGCCATCTACACTCCAGCTCTCCACAAAAATTAGTGGAGGCGCTGTGTGGCCCTCAGGCTATATCTTGCCCAGCCTGGTTTGGAGGTACATGAAAGCAAAACTGGGTAAACACCTGTGCCACTTGGAACACGCTGACAGGCTCACCGTCGGACTTGGGGGGAATCGGTCAGGGGAGGGCCTGTGGCCAAAACCATAAAAGATTCAGTGAGCTGCCTTACTTCTCTGAGAAGTTCTCAAACCTGCTTCTGGATCTCCACTGACACCTCTTAACCTTCCCGTCTTGTGTCCAGGTCACCCTCGTCACAAACACAAACTTGGTCGCTCTCCTGAAGAGCCTCTACTTGCTGGGAGAGCCGCTGGGCACGGAGGACTTTTGTGTGGTGGAGGAGGAAGTGCGTTGGCGGTTGCACAAGCTGAGTTACAAGAATCTGGTCTCCCTGACTGAGCTGCTCACCGTGGATGTCCTGAGGGAGAAGAACCGGCTCCTGAGCGAGCTGCTGAAGAAACTGGAGCTGCGCTGGACGGAAATCGAGGACTCTCGGAGCGTGGTGGTGCTGGTGACGAAAATGGCCTACCTCTCGCCCACCCTCAAGCAGCGACTGGAGGACAAGGTAGAGGCCGGAGTGGTCTGGGAGACGTGGGACGGTCATTCCCAGAATCTCTGCCCTTACTGGCTGGAGAGTTTGTAGAGCTGTCGGCCCAAAAGGGTGACTTTTGTAAGCTCTGGTCTTTAAGAGCGATGGGTTTCCCTCTTGCTTTATCGCCACCGAGTGTTTTGCAACCCGCCAGGGAGGATTCCACGGATGCGTGAGGCTGAGTGAGGTTCCCATTGAGATGATGGATGAGGCAGGGACTTCAGCCTAGACGCTAAAGCACAAGCTTTAAAAGGAGCCAGATGGTGCAGTGGTTAAACAGCAGCGCTGCAGCCCTAACTCTGCTTATGACCTGGGTTCAGTTCAGGCTCAAGGTTCACTCAGCCTTCCATCCTTCTGAGGCTGGTAAATTGAGTGCCCGGCTTGCTTGGGGAAGGAGAGGGCAATGTGTAGCCTGGATAACTGAATTGGAAACCGCCGAGAGAGTGCTTGAAGTACTGCGGAGCAATATAGAAGCAGCAGGCTTTGCTTTTGCTTTTTTTTTAGCCCATTGTCCCTTGTTGATAGGGTGCCGCGTGATGTGTATCCCAGCATAGATCTGCAAGGAGTACTGTGCAGAGGGATGGGGGCTGCTGTCATAGCGTCTTTGCCCCGGCAAGTGTGGCATCCAGCAAGATCCTCAAAGAGGAAGCTCTTGTTAACCTGCCTTCCCCAATCTAGTGCCTGCCAGATGTATCGGACTGACACCCTCCATCCCCAGCCAGCATGGCCATTGGTTATGTCCTGGACTGGGTGTTGGGTGGGAGAGAGAGATTTACAGATGTGTTCAAGGTCTTTCTGCAAAAACGGCTCTTTAAAGCTTCCAGCCCTCTGGACCCAGTGAGCAAAGGAAAAGCCTTCTGAGTTCCTTTAGCAGGTTGGCTTTCATGCCTTGAGCCCAGCAGTACAAGGGGTGCGTCCGGCTCTCTTTGGGTGACCTGCGCAAGTCATGCCCATGCAGTGTCCAAAGCCCCGAAGAATCTCTCTCTGTGTGCATGTTTGATGCCAAGCCTTTTTTCCCCCCTGCAGGCCCTGGAGATAGCGGATCAGTTTTCCCTGGAGGACATTTGGAAAGTGGCCATGACCTTGGCACATCAGAACAACCGCTCCATCCCTCTGCTGCGGGCCCTGTCGTACTACTTGGTCCAGAAGCAATTAGCAATAAGCCCAAACGTTTTGGTGGACTTGGTTTTTGCCTATGGTGAGTTGCCGTGGCAGGCCCCCTCCCTGGCTGAGGCCCCCGTCGTGTCCGATCAGAGAGAGTGTCGCTTCTTTTGGTCACGTCCTGTTCCGAATTGGTCTCCTGTTCCCAGATGTTTATGACATGCCCCAAGGGAGAGAGGCGTTTGCAAGGAACAGGAAGTGGGGTGCTTTTCTTTCCTGGTCCACCTGCCTTCGAAGGCGGGGGGGCATGTGGTTAAGTTTTGCAGTTACAGCGGAGGTGGGAGTAGGAGCAGCTTAACCAGGTGGTAGGAAGGACAACAGGTGTGGGAATCAAGAGAGGGCCTTATCGAGGTTGGGTAGTCTAAGGGAAGACGGAGGAGGCTGCGCACCAGGTCCAAGAGCGCGTCGTTGAGTTTGCCCTAAACCAGTGGGAGAGGAAGGAGCAGAGCAGCCCTTCAGCCATAGAAATTCCAGCGCAGCTTGGCAGAGTTACTTCCAGGGAGAACAGCTGGGGGTTGCAGTCCATGATTTGCTAACCAGACGGGTGCTGGGCATCCTGTTTGCGGGTGGGCACCCCTAGAGAGGCCCGGAAAACTGACACCAGGAACCGTCCCTTCTCGGCGGTGGCCCCAATGCTTTAGAAAGCGTTACTCGCAGATACGTGCCAGGCTTCCTTCTGGCTTTCAAGAGACAGGTAAAAACCACAGTGATTGAAGAGACCTTTACTAGATACCTTTTCCATTTGACGCCCTTGTGGACCCATGAATTCTTTATTGCTTTTGACTGGCTGTCCAGGTTTCTTCCCTTTTTGGATGTTTTCGGTTATTAATGTCTTCTGGCTCTGTGTACGTACCGTATTTTCCTGTGTATAACGGAAGTAAGCTGAGGAGAGAACAAAAACAAGTGCTAGCAGCGCTTTCATCCCTTTCCCCCTACACTTGCTAAGCCCCACTTCGATTTCTTAATTTTGGATTAGAAAAATGGGGGGGGGCGCATCTTATACACGGGAAAATACGGTATGCCCTTGAGGCTAGGGATTATCAGTTGTGTTTTTAACTGCGATTGGCTGCCCCCCAGGCTAGCATCGGAGATGATTTACCAGAACTGTCCTGGCGGGTTGCAGGATTTTGCTTGTTGAATTCCCCAAAGGGGGTGAGCGGCCCCAAGCTTCAGGTCGTGCTTGCTGAATTCTGATACCAAGAGCCTGAGGACGTTCTCGAGTGGGAGCCTCCTCTTTTAGCACCCTCCGAAGGTTGCTAAGAAAAACCCTTGCTCCATCTGCCCGGCCATGCCAGCTCCTGCCCTCAGCAACTGGTGGTGTCGCTTTCCCCGGTGGGATTCTTAAATTCTTCACCCTTTTTTTAATAGACCTGGGGTTGCAGCTGTTGGCTTTCTGCTCACCAAGCAGAGGCCTGGGCCACTGAATGGTAGCCCTCCCCCCTAAAAGGGGGAGAGGAAGGGGGCAGAGCAGATGTTTTAGCTCAAGCGAAAGCCAGCCCAGGCGAGAGAAGAGTCCCAGGGCTGGCCTGGCGAGAGACGGCCTTGAGGCCCTTGCATCGGAAGGGACAGATGCTTAGCGCAAGGCGCATCCTGTGTGCTCTGTGGAAAGATAAACATCGCCCACCGATGCGGGATGGATAGAGAAATCTGAAGAATCTGGGCTCCCAGGTGGAAACCTTCTCAAGCTGTTCGGCTTTCTCTTTGCGAAGGCAGGCTTATGAGTGGGGCGAAAGGTCCGCGGCAAAGTCTCGGAAGCCCGAAGCCAGGGGTTGGGTAGAGTGGGGAAGGGGCCTTCTTTACTTGCTTGCCTGAGGTCCCCGTCCCTTCCCGTGAGTAAGGGAAGCCGGGCGAGTTGCACAGAATAGCCTGAAAAATGGTTGCCGCTGTTCCTGTTGTCCTTCCCCCCCCCATCAGTCTGCCTGGGGCTTTTACGCAGTTGTTGGAGGACCCTGAGAGCATTCATTACCTGAAATTCAGAGCAGGGGAGGTGGCCGTGGGAGATGCTGTCAGTCATTCACACTTGTGGGTCAGGCCCAAAATCCCTACAAGTTATAGGTGACAAAATGCTCTTTATTGTGTGCAGGTTTATATGTTCTTTTGTACTGAGCGTTACAGAAACCTGGCTTCAGGGCAGCCCTTTCTCTCTCCTTAACAAACAAGTGGGAGGGGAGCCCCCGCCGGGAGGGAGGGCTGAGCTAGGGTTCCAGGAAACAGGTGTGTCGTCCCCCCCCCCCGAGTTCCTGACCCAGAGGAGACTCCATGGAAGTGCAGCCTTGATTCTAAATCTTCAAGTGGGTTGGACTTTATTTCAAAACCGGAAGAAGATATTTTCTGGACTGTAATTAAAAAACAAAATGGACAACTTTTCCAAAGTTGTAGTTGATTTCATCTCCAGGCGCCTTGCTGGGCCTTTTCTCTCTCCCCCCCCCCATGGGCGACGACTTTCTTCTTGTCCCACAAAGCGAAGCTGAACTTCCACCAGACTCAGCTCTTCCAAAAGATTTCCATGGAGCTCCAGCCGTACATCCCGGAGATGACGCCCAACGACGTGACCCGCTGTGTCAGGTCCTTCGCCTACCTGAAGTGGCTCAACCTGCCTCTCTTCGAAGCCTTCATGCAGGTAAGCGGCCCAGAGGAGGGCCAGGAAGGCTGGGGGGTTGAGGGCCGAGGAGACGGCAGGCCTGGTGGCGAGGGGAGCCGGGAGAGCGCGGGGGCCTCCATCCAGCCTTCTGGATCCTGCGTTGCTTTTTGGACATGTAAGGAACCTGGAGATGTGAAATTTCCAGAAATAATTGAAGCCGGAGGGGGAGAAAGTCTGTTTTTGCTGGGCAGTTTGAGGAAGGTTTGTGGGGGGGGGGGCTTGAAGCACATGTATTTTCACATCAGCTATCTAGCTATCTAGCTAGATAACATAAGATGATAGATAGATCGATGCCCTGTTTCCCCAAAAATAAGACAGGGACATGTAAGGAACCTGGAGATGTGAAATTTCCAGAAATAATTGAAGCCGGAGGGGGAGAAAGTCTGTTTTTGCTGGGCAGTTTGGGAAAGGTTTGTGGGGGGGGGGG